TGCAAGAACTTCATGCTTCTTCCTGAAGAAATCGAACTTTCTTCACAGAAACTTCATATTTCCTCCTCAAGAAGTCCATCTTTCACCGCAAGAACTTCAGGTATTCTCCTCAAGAAATCGATCTCTCGACCCAAGAACTTCATGTTTCCTCATCAACCACTCGACTGTTCTTCGCAACATTTTCGTGTTTTTTCCTGAACAACTCGAGCTCTCTTCGCAAAAACTTCATGTTTCCTCCTCAAGAAATCCATCGCTCTTCGCAAGAACTTCATGTTTTGCCCTGAAGAAATACATCTTTCTTCACAAGAACTTCATCTTGTGAACCTCTACAAAATCGATCGCTCCTTGCAAGAACTTCGGGTTACATCCTGAAGAAATCGATCGTTCTTCGCAGTCAGCTAGAATTAGCAATTTAAATCCAGAAGCGTATCATGTCTATTGTAATGCAGATTCATTAGATCTTGCATTACAAGATTTAACTCGTGAGTCACCACCAGTGGCATCTGCCTTAGATATGACGAATGAAATTGGAAACTGTATGCAAAAGTCTGATATACCCAACACGTTTGAAGAAAAATTCCAACTATGCAACAGCAAAATAAAAAAGATTTATATGTCCCTAACTTCTCACTCACTGCAACTGCCGTGCACTTACTACGTAAATTAGTTATTTTTTTGCTTTAATTCTGCTTCAGAAAAGTTAAAAAGCAGAATATAAACTGCAAAAAGTTCGAATATAAAAGTGATCTTCACACCACTTTCAGAAATATGTGCCTTGTATAATAGACAATGCTTTTTCGTCTCATCTGACATGATAAGAAAATCGTCGATATCTTCAAGCACACACGTGTTTACCGTATACGTCATATACAGGCATAAATGTGTATCTATATATAAAACCTTTCATGTTGAAAATGTTAGAAAACGGTTATGTGAAAGATGTTCGTTTGTGTGAATACATATAAGAACGAACACACGTGTACCGTATAAACAGAATTCACGTAAGTAAAGTTGTTTCGATATTCTACTTTTTTCAGAAAATATTCTCTCACTGACCTATATCACAAAAGTTAATGAGTGTGTGACAGACAACTCCGCAAGCTGGATCGATTGGCTTATTCAGTTTTTGATGAAAGTCGTGACTTCGCCAATAAAATTAGAAATACAAAAGTTTTTACCGTAAATCTTTCGAATGTAAATGTATTTCTCGAAAATATTCTCGACCAGAGGTGTGTCACAAAATCAAACAAATGTGCCATATGCAGTTTTGTACTCTAAATCAAATAGCATTTTCAGAATTTCTTCAAATCTTATCGTTAGAGCACAAACTGAAGACTACCATAAACTAGTATAATACATGTGTACTTTCTACTAACATTCTCTAACACAGCTGTGTCACAAAAACTAACACATGTGTCAGATGTAGTTTTTCAAGCTGAATCAAATCGACGTTTCAGAATTAAATTTTGATCAATTACTACTATGAAAAACTATAAAATACCATCTCGTTATTATCGACAAATGTAAAATATTAACCGTAATGCTTAAAAACGTTCTGCATCGAATATCTGTCAGTAGAACTAAATCATATGTTAGATGTAGTTTAATGAGAGGAATCGAATGCCTCTTTTAGATTTTATTTCTGGTCAATATTTACTATGAAAATCTCACAAAAGTAATAACAAATTTAACCTAATAGAAAACTTTACGGAAATGAAAAAGATCTGTAACTTATATGTTACGAGAAAAGAAATACAATAGTTAAAAGAGACTAGTTCCAAGTTCACAAAAACGTAGATGTGAGTATCGACAATCATCGATAAAGAACTGAAAGAGAATGACCTGAAAGAATGACACATAATATTGTATAAAAGAAGAATGTTCGTCCACTTAAGAGAAAAAGAAAAAGGTCATTCTATGTCATATTTAACGCCTTATGGACTAGGATATCATCTAACTACTAGAACATAACACCCCTGTTATGACCATTTACCCTGTTTATTGTCCATTGTAATGCAGATTCATTAGATCTTGCATTACAAGATTTAACTCGTGAGTCACCACCTGTGGCATCTGCCTTAGATATGACGAATGAAATTGTAAACTGTATGAAAAAGTCCCCGAAACGATTGCATTTATTGGACAAATTAACGGGGTTAAATAATTATTCAAACTTAAAGCCATTGTGTTCTACTCGATGGACGGTGCGGGCATCATCAATGAATGCATTAATTGTTAATTATGACTTATTTAGAAGGTCATTAGCTGAAATTAGTACTGAAGGTGGTCCACCGTCTGCTAAGGCGAATGGATATTTAGAGCAAATGCAGAAATTTTCTACGTATTTTGGATTTAAATTAGGTAAATACAGTTCTCCGTATTCTATATATCTGAGGAAAATAGCAGCAGTTTTTGTCATCGTAGGTCTCTTTTGGTTTAAAATACGATGAAAACAAAAAATTTAAATAGGGAACTGCCATCTTAGGAAGCTCAGATAAATCTTGCTAATCCTTGGTCAGAAGTTCAAATTGTAAAAAAAAACACCTTCAACTTGGAAGATACTTTTTGCAGAACGGAAAACTGAGTCTACGGTTTGAATGCACAAACACACGTTCTCTAGATCATTTAGTCTTCTCTGCTACAGAAGAAGTTTCATGATAATTACAACGTACCGAAAATTGTTTACAAGATGTTTTATGTGCAATTAAAACGTTAACAAGATATTTGGAGAGAATTAAATATATAGAATATTTCCAAACGTTTTATGAATCAGTATTGAAAGAAGCTGAATCGTTAACAGACGAACGTAATTAACGTACTTTTGACGGTGAATTTACCGTAAAAAATTCAGTCGTATCAAATGTAATAATAAGTCGTTCAGCGTCGAAATTCTTTCTGTTGGTTATTGATGAATATGTTGATATTTGTTTCTCTAAATGAAAAGACAAAAGCGCAAGTCGAGAATAGCAACAAAAACGTCATAATCTGCTTTCTGCGAAGGCGATATAACTATAGAAAAATTGTTCAAGTTTTTGCTGTCAATTTGAAGTCATTCTGGCTTATATGTATTCGTACATTTTTCCGTGGTGTCGGAAGAGGCTACCCACGCGCAGCAGGCTTCGTCTGTCGATATCCGATGGCTCAGACTTTTCCTGGAGAATCGATAGCATTTCGCGATTTTCAACACATACGTTACCGGATATAACATTCCTGGATTCGGTTCTTCCTTCATTACTTTGAATCTTTAAGGAATACAGAAGAGTTCTTCACTATTTTATTTTCAAGTTTTGATTATGCATGCTCCAAGACCACGTGTTCGGTCCTATTTCGCATATCAGTTATTATTTCTTAATGTGTAAAATAAATGTATGTGAACAAACGATTCGACAGCATCAAATATTTCTACAAAGTCAGCATTCCGTGATTCTTCTTTTAACTCTTGGCTATTTTTTCATAGACAGACAGTCCTAAATGTACTCTTCAAATCGTAGGCAAGACCGACCTTAATTTACAGCGATTCGGCATAAGATTTTCAAATATAACTGAACTTTTTAGAATATTTATTTTAATTTAATACATATACTTCCACAAGCAAACTGTCGTTTAGAGGCGATACTGAAAAAGAATGTTTTTTCATTGAATTTTCTTCAAAACGTAAATCGCATTATAGCTCCTAAACTCAGTCCGACATAGATAATACATAATTGTACTGTTGAAGATACTAAAATGGTAGTAGATGCGGACGTTAATTTAAATATATCAGAGTCTAAAATAATTTGTTGAACGAGAGCAATACTTTGATTTTGATTACACAAATTCTTGTTACATCCATAACGAATACTATATCTTCTATTCTCGTTAGATAGGTATGATGCATCAATCTTTACTCCCATAATATCTTTTAGATCCTCTTCTGTCGCACTTGTAGTACGTACACATGCTGTTTCAACAAAATCCATTTGAAATCCGTATGTAAACGTTACCTCACAATATCCACCATTACACGGTATTGCTGTATTATTCTTACTATAACAATTTAGACTTGAACCATCACTGAACGCATCATAAACAAGTGTTGATATATCAGTTCGTAATTTTGAATACATTTCTTCTTGATAGTCTTTTACTACTTCTTTAACATAGTTTAAATCACATTCATTGTTTTCAAAACATATATATGATTGAGCAAACGCAATTTCACTCGTTTTAAACCATAATGATAATGATGAATTGTTTGTTTACTATCTTGAAGCAAGAGGGCGCCAGTTTGTGTCTGAAAGTGTTCTTAAAACGATGATGTCGAATGACCATAGCACTCCCCTCCTTGTGTATGTAACTGATATAACAAGGCTAAGATGTAGTAAGTGAATAAATGATCAAGTGACGTGTAGGTCTCACCATTACTAAATACTAATCGATCATTTTCCACAGGATAAAATAACGTAGTTATAGTTGGGTTGGGTGACTTAATTATTATGTTAACGCTGCATCCAACTGATGATAGAACACCCCTTTGGCAAAGGTCGTCTGGCGTAACGTCAATGGTTATATTTGATGAATTCAATGCTGTTGTAGCAGCACAACCGCGTATACATGTTGGTGGTCGCTCATTTGCAGCATGAACAAATAAATTTAAAAGAGAAAGTGGAAACAAATATAAAATTATCACCGACATCATCCGGCTTTTAGATTTACTGTGAATTCCAGAAATAAGTTCGTATATGTGTGTGCTGATTAATCATTTAAGTACATATTATTACATCCAACTATTCATTATTTTGAGAAGAGAAAAAAAGGTAATCTGAAGAGTTTATTCAAGTTGAAAGTGAGAACTTGTTATTGAGAATGTTAACGATTAACTTCTTATCTTAGAAATCAGATCATTATACAAGTAATTCTATCCATTTATCGTCCTGACCAAACAGTTAAAAAGATACTGTCTCTCATAAATTTTTAAATTCATTTCAGTTAATCAAAAGTGTGAAGTATGGCATGTTTAGTTCATTTTTTCATTCTTTTTGCATCGATGATCATCGGTCATTTGGTTTATAGTGAAGATGTTCAATGTTTGCATTGTTCTTTTCCAAACATATCATTACAAAATCCTGAT